AAGGCCCGGTTCACACCTGGGCGTTTTGTAGCACGTTCCGACGCTCTGCAAAACGCTCAAACACCGAAATCCCATTATTTCCTATGGGTATGGTTCACACCTGGGCGTATTACAGGCCGCATGAACGCGCTACAAAACGCCCTACGCCCAAAGAAGTACAGGAGCTTCTTTGGGGCGTATTTGTCGCACGTTTTCATTGGGATACAGCCAGGTAGCCCTCGGAAACGGGCGTTTGTCACGCTTTTTTTTTTTTTTACTGCTAATTGCGGTACAAACGCGCATATTCGATACACCTAGGTGTGAACCCAGCCTTAGGCCTTGTTCACACCAAACGCGTTCCAGGAGCAGAGCAGTTACAGAACGGATCAAAACTGCGTCCAATGTATTCCAATGGGATTTTGGGCTCTAGTTCACATCGCAGCGTGCCAGAGCAGGTAAAAAACTGCAGCAGGCCCTATTTTACCTGCTCTGGAACGCATGCAAACGCCCTGGAACCCCATTTTAAAATAAATACCAAGATTTAAAATGTTACCAAAGCCGGCCCTGAACGCCTTGGGGGTCATTGTAGACCACAAACTGAAAGGTAGTTTGCAGTGCCAGGCTGCTGTAAACAAAGCTAGCAGGGTCTTGTCCTGTATTAAGAAGGGGATGTATTGCAGGGACAAGTCTATAATTTTGCCACTTTATAGATCATATACAGGGGTACAGGTAACATACAGGGGTACGGGTAACATACAGGGGTACGGGTAATATACAGGGGTACGGGTAACATACAGGGGTACGGGTAATATACAGGGGTACGGGTAATATACAGGGGTACAGGTAACATACAGGGGTACAGGTACTCCTAAAAACTAGATCCTAATTGATGGACTAATGTCTTTATTCAACCTCAAATACTATGTAACTATGCATCAAAAACGCGGCGCAACCCCCCGCGCTGCGTGTGCAGAAACTCATGCAGATCTGGTCTGCATTCGGTGTGAACAAGGCCTTACAGATACCTCTGAGGGCAACCATAATGTTGCTGCGGCCCACGATTACATTGCCCTAGGACAAGGCCGAGGGCCACCCCTCTTTCTCATCTCCATAGGCGCGGTTCTGGGGTCCTCGGGCATAGCCAAGAACAGTGCTGACTGATCAGAGCGCAGGACAGGAAGTTATCAGCTCACAAGATTTCTGGCAGGACCAGCGGGGGTTTTATTTATTTGTTGCACTTATTAAACTGATATACCAAAAAGCGTTAAAAAGAGGAGGAGCAAGTAAGAGTTCGTCATTAGGATTTATGGTATATACCCCTTCCTCGCCAATGAGGCGGCGCCATCCGTACTGCACGCGCCGTGCACTGAGCGATCACCTGCTATGTCTGTGCTCATGTTATGTAATCCAGGGCGGCCCGAGCGCGTGTCCGTCAGCATTCTGAAAGATGTCCGTGAGTGTGTGGCCCTAGATAAACCATTGTGACAGGGAAAGTAAACCCCGCCCCCATCTTTGAAGGCAATGCTAGTTGCCTGGCAGTCATGCGGACTCATTGGCCGGGGCCCATTCACACTAGAGCGTTGCTGCGTTACATGGTACATGTAAGCTGCGGAAAAATTTGGTTATTTCGAGATCCGAGTCCGAAATTCGATTCGGAATTGGATGAAATCCGAATTTTCGTTAGTTTCGATGAGTTTATGAATATTGGTTGCGAATATCACAGAGAACCAAATACAGAGATTAATACTAAACCGGAAGCTCCCGGACGCAGATGGCATTCCGGATCCCAATTTCCCAATTGTATTCAGGAGATCCAGAAAGCAATACGGGTCTGGGAGCCATATCAAGGCCGAGACTTCCAGACCCGAAATAATCTGACTCCCCAATCTCCTACCAAAACGTGTAATATGAGGAGCTGCAATACACCGTCCAATCAGGAATGACCTTCTACTACACAGATGGTGGTAGATATAGAGGAGGTTGTACCGTTACCATTGTGATGTGTGCCGGCTGGGGGTGTAACCCATCACACAACATATCCAGAGATACAATGACCGTGTCACAGCTCAGTGGGGGAGTGTCCTGGCCAAAGTCAGTTCATCTAAGGAGCATTCTTCCCTCCGACCCCCAATGTAAGGAGCATTCTTCCCACTGACCCCCAATGTAAGGAGCATTCTTCCCACTGACCCCCAATGTAAGGAGACCCTTCGCTGCCATCACAAGGGGACAATCCTCCTCTCGTGGCAGGAACACTTTCTCCGGAGGTGATTGATGAAAACAGACGAAAGCTTTACCATTAAAACAATAAATATTCTTTATCGGCTGACACGCGTTGCATTGTTCAGAGTTACATTTCGTGCGCTGTGTCTTTAAATAAAAAAAAATACAAGTACAGTCAAAGGCTTCTGTGCGCCTAAACAAATCCCAAAACCAGTTCCTATGAGATGCACAATCCTCCCCCGACTCCCGCTTCGTGTCTCCCACGCTCCCCCTTCCCAGACACTGCAGCTCACAGTGGGAGGGTATCAGCGGCAGTGAGTGCTGTCAATCTAGAAAGCAGTGGGCGGGGCTAGGTGCTGATTGACAAGCTGCAGGCTGATAGCCACGCCCTCCGCAACATCTCCTCCCACCGTAGCGCAAGCAGGCGCAGCCTTACATGAGGGTGACAACTCTGCTTCTGAATTCTGGAGCAGTGCAGTATCGTTGCCACCCTCATCACAGGCAGCTGAACAGGTATCTGGGGGACTGAGAGAAAACCGTTAAGTGCGGATCAGCTTATAATTATATTTTTTTGGAATGGCCGGCCTTAGCTTTGCCCCTTTTTACCTGAAAGACCCGCCCAATACTTGTACGCAAAAATATCCATCTTCACGTTCACATCATTAAACAAAATACTTCTCTACAATGAAAAACTTGTGCTGGGAAGTGTTCGGAAAGTCCCCCCGCAAAAAAAATTTCTCTCTGCAGGTTAAAACATCCCTGTTACCGTGACAACGGGCATATGAAAATCCCGAAATAACATTCCAGTCAGGGGACCGACGTCGTCGCGGGCGGCCGCTGAGCTCATAGGCTCGATGAGTGATGTCATCGCGGCTTCCCAAAAGTAAAACTCTTTTTTTTAAAATATCGCTCTAAAACCGAAACGAGGGAAGTGAAGGGAACGTCGGCTCCGAATATACAAAGTATCTGAAGCAGAGACGTGAATTCAGCCACCTACTGCTATGTCACGGCACGGCCACAAGGGGGAGACACAAGCCGATGACCCGCATCGCCTTCTCGTTCGCTCAGGTGTATAAAATACTTGTAAGTGCACTTCAGTGTTGGCCCCCCGCGACCGCGGCCTCCTAATTGGGGGTGGCGGCGTGGACCGCGACGGAGACGTTCTTCCTGGCGTTGGTGACGTGGCGCTGCTGGGCCAGGAACGATCGCCCCGAGGAGCCGTTGCCGGGGTCCCTCCCTCCTCGTCCTGCTAGGCGGGACTCCATTGCCACCTTCTGGTGCTCCAGGCTCTGTAACAAGACAAACTCGTGTCAGTGTCAAGATATGGAACGGGGATGCTGGGGGTGCCAAACTGCGCCCCGTTTCTCGGCTGTCTATC